CTGTGTAGGCAGGCACACAGTTCAGTAAGCACATAAATAAATGCATAACAAAATGTGCCATTGCACGCACGTCTGGGTTTTTAACAAACTGCAAACAAATGAGGCTTCACTGCATACTCTCTCCATTCTCCCTTCACAGACTCTTTGTATCTTTATTCCCCCAACATCTTTGTTTCTCTTAAGCATTATTTCTGTCCTGTACTTACCCACACAAGGTTCTGTTGCCTCAACTGGAAAGACTTCCCATGAGAGCCTGTCCTAGCCTTTCCCAACCACTCTCCATCCTTTTTCTTCTGATTCCCTACACATAGATATTACTGAGCTCCAGACAGACTTTTAAGTCTCATTTCACATTCCTTCAAGCTTTGCTTTACTCATGCCCCACTATTTTATTTTTTTTTTGCTACTAGTCTATGTATGGCCTCTCATCAGTAATTCAAACCTGAGGATATTGTGATTGCATTGTTGGAACTTTTCAACTCCAAGCTTATCTATCACTCCTGCATTATTTCTAGTGATTAGCTGCAGTATCACTGTTAAGCTTGTAGGCAATTACCTCATTTAAGGGAACATCCTTGTAGTGCCTTACTGAACATGCTCTTATCTGCATTTTCATACCACCAGCGTTTTCATTTCTCCCCACTCCCCACCAGAACAAATGAAGTCACTTGTTTCTGTACTAACCTCTTTTAGGTTGATTGTATTTAAAGATACTCCATCTTTTGATCTTACTCTTAGTTCAAAAACTTTCTYAGTCCATGATGTCATTCAAAACTTTGAGACAGACTTTCACTCTGCATCTTGGTTTTCCACAGTGTGTTTTGTGCTTGCTCTTTGACTAAACATTCAGTGATGCTAACTAGAGCTTTGAAGATGAAGAACAACCACAGATGATGCAGAATGAAGGACAGGAAAGTGATCAACTCCCAGTATAATTCCAGCAATAATCACTGCTCTCATAAGCCCCTTAAAGCAGAAACCACTGCAACCACTTCCACACTCAAGACAGCGACCAAGAAAGCCTCACTCACCAGTCAGTGCTGAGGGCTCTTCCCACACACTCCTAAGAGTAAGGACTCACTAATTTTATCAACTTGCCTTTCATTTGGAAATGCTCTGGGCTCTAATAAATGACTTTGTATCAAATTGCTGAAGTTGTAGACACATAATTAAACCAACACATAATACAACTCAAATGCTGCTGAGGGGGCACTCTTGACTTCTAGATTGAGTATGACACTCAAAACCACAGCTGATCTCAGTTTGACTTTTGACTTGTCTGTTATTATCTTTGTCTCATATTTCACAAGGCAATTGTAAGATTTATTCTGCTAATGTCAGTATGTGCTTTGAAGACACACAAAGCACTAAGTGCCAACTATTATTACTTATTCAGTAGTCTTGTTTTCTAYATTAGCTGCATTTGAGCAAAGCATGCCTTGCTTTTCAGTCAGTTCTGCTGGTTTGGTTTCCTTGGTCTCCCATTTTTCATGAAACATTCAMTTGGCAGAAGTTTTGGATCACAGTGGTCCACATCCAGCAGCAGGAAAGTCATGCCTTGCACTCAGACGACTGCTGGCATGTTCAGAGCCACAAAACCCTGCACAGAACAAACCTCTGCAAGAAAGTGCTCAGTAAAACAACAGCTATTGCCACCTTACAGTTTGTCTTCCCAAATATTAACCACAGCATAAAAACCTTATTTAGTGCTAAGAGCTTTGTGTAATAATTGCCAGGCATTATTTTATAATGTTCCAAACCATCTCTCTCTCCTATGAACTGCAACACAAAGCTTTTCTTCACTGTTTGGMTATTTGTTTCTGTTCACTTTGGGGAATCTAAAAACATTCCTGCTCACATATTTAATGTGTTTTAAYTTTCCCTTTCTAGACTATCATCATCAGAGACCTTATTGCTTCAGCCATCCACTGCTACTTCTTGCAGTGTTTTTTGTTCTAGACACTTTAGAAGTTGGTTTGCTTTAGCACCAACTCATTCCCCTTCCAAATTCAATGTTTACATTAGTCAGTAATCTCAACATATAATCTCAACATATAATCTCAACATATAATTTATTTGACTAATTAATGACCTATGAAAAGAATTTTTTAAAATGCATACACTTACAGAGCTGCAGAAGAACACACCACTCCTTCCTGTCCTTCATACAGGTACTTGTTTAGATATATGTAATGAAAATAAGTATCTTTCACATGTCACTGCTGTGCTCCCTTAGCTTCCCAAAGCACAGCAGTACTATCAAGAGCAGTTTYCACAGTCAAAATGACACAGATGAAGTTTTTACTTTTAAAGCACTTTTACTTAATCACTTCCTCCACCTCTTTCCTAGTCTGCATATCTTAACGATTATGAATTGTTACACAGTACAATAAAGACWTTGTAATTAGGTAATATGGTTTTCCAAAATTAAAATCTTATATATGAGMGAAATATGCAATTAAGCCATCAACAGCTTTACTGAAGTACTCCCTTCCCACTGCAAGTTCATCTTTCCCTTCCTGGTCTGCCTTCCTYGGCTGTTTCTGATGTTTGTGTCAAGAAATGAAAGTTAAAAAATGGCCCACCTCTCATACTRTGTACAWGAACTGTTTAAAGACATCATGGTGRAGAAATATRTAATAGTTACAACTTGTATGGGGGAGTCAGGCACTCCCATCTGTGTTCCTTAGGACTGTTTATTCCAAGAGACACAGCCTTGAGCGTCTCCTGTAGAAACAGAAGTGACTCACACAGGGATACACCAGGCAGGGAACACCACTAATTACCCTGTCCCATGCAGCATCAAAAATGCAGGTAGCTTTCTTGAGAAGCTCATGCACTCAAATCACCACCAGGACTTGAAGCAGCACAAGAAATGGCAGTGGATGCTCTAAAGCAATGACCTGAAGTTCCCTGATTCAGTGCTAGGCGTTTGTCTGGGTCAGCTTTCCCAACACAAGGCGCTCCTTTGGCAGTGGGATGGAGCTKCTGACGTGCAAAGCTCCCTGCCATCGTGTCCTCCTCAGCACTGCAAAGATTATTCTTGCCAGGTGAGTCACTGTCCTTAGAGGGATGGCAGCCTCTTCCACTCAGAAATAGCTTCTCAAACATTCCAGAAGAATTTATCTCGTGTCACTCAAGTTTGTGAAGGCACRGTTAAAAGAATTTAAGATAACTGTGTGCCTCCTCCCATTCTGAGTCGTTCTGCTTATGGACTGTACTGGAGAAGAAAAGGTAAGTAGCCATGGAGAATAATTTCAGAGACAAAAGGAGCCAGGAGACACCAATTCAAATAAAGGCAAATTATTCTCAACCCTTACTGTGAGGCCCAGTTCTTCCCAAGCTCTTCTGGGCACAAGCATTAACATCTTATACACAGGCATGTTGTGCAAAGTTTATTAAAGTTACTATTTTTTATTCTTCAGGTAGAAGTTGCCAGGGCCTGCCCTATCCCTAAGACCATCTGCTTTTATTTCTTTCTTTTAAACCTTTTAAACCATGATTTCAGTTGAAAAATTAAATACCAAACTGAGAATTTAAAACTACTGTGCCAAACCATTTTCTCCCCAAAATGATACAAATATACAAATAAAACAAAATTCAACTGGAATTTGAGGCTCTCAGCATTTCTGACAAGTTGGAGTCTGAAAACCTGSCCCTCAATCCATGTATGCAGAGCACAAATAAATTCTTATTTTTATGCCTACCCACAAAGAAAAAGCAGAAGACCAAAATAAGGAAATTACTGGATATATTCAAATGGGTAAGTATCTTATAAAATGAATAACTAGGCAAGGAAAATCATTAACAATAGAGCCATCTGCTGTATTTCAAAAAAACTACACCAGCAAAATTCTGAAAACGGTAAAATGCTTTACAAGCTGAATTTTTCACTACTCAGCGTTACAAAAAGTGATCATGATGATTAGTACATCAGTTTAAATAACAGGAAATGTGTATTTCTTACACCTCTTCTAATTAAAAGCAATATTTAGTRGTGGAATACTGATCCTCTGTGCCTAATGATACTAATTGACATTGTAGCTGGTCTTGTTATAAGCCTGAAATACACTTGAATCAGTTAAGCACAGTATTGTGTATGGTGACACAGGTCAGCAGCAGCTGAATATTTATTTAAATACTGACAAGACACTTGATTACGTTTCTCTTGCTTTAAAATAAGAATTTCAGGTCTGAAGAGTTTAAGTAGAAAAAAACAACAAAATCAACACAAGGAATGAAGCCAAGTTTAGAAGACAGACAAACACAAGTGGTTCTTAGAATATTTTTACAATTCTAGAAATAAACTTGGGGACCCCCAAGCACGGGGGACAAAGCAAGTGCCTGGAAGCCACTTCCCAGTTTTGCATCTCCAACACTKCACTAGAACTCAAATCCTGGTTAAACTGGGAAAAATTGTAACAGCACAGACCCAGAGCTGCAGAGAGAGAATACCCTGCTGAAAATCTGGGCTCAAATGGGTGCTAAGCTATGCAAAAAAGCAGCACCTACAAAGTATGCACGGGCTATGGAAACTCTATCCTGTCCACTGGAAGGTTGGTTTCCTGAGTTGCAGTCTCAGAGGTGGCTGGAAGCGATCACAGACCAAAAATGAGAGCTGTTAGCATGAATCTTCACAGGGMAGTTCCCCTTGCATTTAAAATAAGTTTGTAAACCACCAACCCACATCATATCTGTGGGTCACCACAATTGCCTCCATAAGTGTGTCTGCCCCAAACATCTTCATTAAATATTCTGATCAGATCAGATATTTGACTACAAATTTTACTTGTTCCTACAACCCTTGCCATTCAGCAGCTTCTTATTTAACATTTCATGCAGGTTTTGTAGGTTATACAAAGAACAAGTGACACTTCATTACCCCACCTGCAATTTTCTTCTATTGACAAAACCAAACTTCTGCAACCAGAATTTTTCAAGCCTCAGAAATAATACAGCAAAGACATTCTTAGCTCAAAAAGGAAACCCCAGATATTTACCTGCCATCATAGCAATCATGCTGGCTTTGTAGACATTAGCAAGGGACCCCAGTTCACCCGTGGCCARGATTGTTTTCATGTGAGCATCTCCACAGGCTGCACGGCACAGACGGATCTCCTCGTACAGAGCTGGGAAAAAAAAAAACATGAGGAAATGGTCAAAGTTACCTGAGAGATATTTTCAAGTATAGCTGTAATTTCCACTTCTGSRTTAATTTCCAATCTTATAATTAGTYRTAGCACTCAGGAACTTAAGTTTTGTAAGTTCAGTGAATTACATGGCTGGAGGTAATTAACAGTGYCGTGCAGTTTCTGACTTTACTTAATAGCTATTAGTGTCTGTTCTCTCAAAACTACAAATGTGCACAGTGCACCAAACACCCATGAACACATCGGGAGTAAAACATGCTAGGATAGTAAAGACTGATCTTAAAACTCATTCTCCAGCAATAAATATGGAAGCACATTGAATCAGTGCTCAGAGACAATTATGTTTTCCATAACATAATCTGGCAGCTGAGGACAGCAAAATCCTCCCACCCTTCCTGGTAAAATTCAGCAGTGCTCCCACAAATAAATATGGGGAGACAGAAAGAGCTGGAAATTAATGAAGCTTTGCTGTCAGRAGCCGACCACTTGGGGATGTTTAAGATTGCTCCAGTCTGGGGAGAAAAGTAGCTCTTTCAGTGTACAATCACCATTTTTGGGTTTTTAATTTAAAAAGCAAAGATGCAAACGGGATGCTTTGCACAAGGGTCCTTTTCACAAACTGTACTCAATCTTCAAACAAATAATCAAAGAGTTCTTTGATAGAAGGCTAAAATACAGCTTAAATAAGTCCTGCTAAAACAGTTCAGGCTACAAAAATGCCTTTTTTTTCTTTTTTTTTAGAAATAACAGAATTTTTTTCCCCTCAGCCCTTAAGTGAGACCTGGAAGTGCAGAGCATGGTTTGGCAGCTGTGGCAGGGCTGGACCCCCCTCCACTCACAGCACTGCCGAATCTGACGGATGCCATGGGCACTCTGGGCTGGAATTGCTGGGGTGGCCTCTGAGACACTGCACACATCAGCACACAACTGGCTAATGCACTCAGCAAGTCCCTTTATAGACACCAGGCTTCACCTTGTTTCTCACTGTGTACCAAAGGTGTGAATTAATCAGTACTAGCATGCAGTCTAACATGTTTTATTGATCAATTGATGATGCTCCAGAAGCCTACATCAAATCAAGGCTCAAAAAGGAAACACAAAGGACCTGTGCTATTTTTTTTGTGCATTTAATAACCCTGCTTGTGTTAGATCCAAATGAAATCTCTTTTTGTGGAGTGACTCTTTCCTGAAGCTTTTGAAAACCCAGAGAAAGCATCTCTCTTGCTCTTCTAGTTTCGGTAACAAGAGGAGAAGTTTTCCCTACCTTTAAGACACGCCACCAAAAATGTCAAAATAAAACCAACAAAAYGTACATTTAGGTTGGATTCCATGAAAGGAAATTACATCCTCACAGCTGCTGCTCCCTGGCAGTGCAGCTCCAGCACCCTCCCTGTAGTTGGAAGGTATTTTCACATGCAATTAGCATCAAGCTCGTTTGAACAGGCTCACTAGCTGCCAGCACACATCATCCCACGGACAGCAACAACTCGGGATCCTCAATCATCCGTGTCTATCAGCTTAGCTGAGGTGGAGGAGAAGTGGGCACACTTTAATGGGGCAGGTGTGTAGGTAAGAAATGCTGTTCTTTATTCAGAAACCAATTATTGCAGACAACAGCTGACATTCACAAGGCAGTTTCAGCCCCACAGTAAAAGTACAAATAGRAATGCAACTGAGTCTGGGAGAGGGAAAATTAACCAGAGCATCCCAGTCCCAGTTGCAAGCTGGATGGAACTGCTTTGATACAGAAAAAGTGTAAAAACTTCTTTCAAAAATAGAAGGAGCACTTTCAGTATTCAGATTTAAATCAAGGTACAAATAACAGGATTATCCTGAAACTCTTTGGCAAATGTCTGAAGTATGGGTGGAGTTAATCACACTTGAAAATATATTCAGTGTTTCAAGGAGCCCTGGGCTTTCTGTGGGACAGTCTGTGCTGCCAAAAAGTCCAACATTTAACAAATGAGTTCYATCAGGCTAAGCAGTAACAGGACCCAAGCTGGATGCCACAAATCTGGAAATATCTGTGGCCCGGGCAGAACACAGATGGAACTGCCACAGCAGACACGGCTTCTCTGATTAGCAGTAGTGGCACCAATATTTTGGTCAAAAAACTCTATCACAGAAACCCTACAGGCACATTTTCAACTGCAAACTAAGAACAACATGAAGAGGTTGCAAGAGACTTTCTTTTTGACTCCTAAAAATAAAGAAAATCAAAAATCAAAGCAAATGGCCAGTGCTCTGCAGCATCTCGAACAAAGCATCAATATTATCCACTCTAAAAGCAGGCTAAATCTTAAGCCAGGGAAAAAAAACCCAAAACCCAAGAAAATACAAAACAATGAACCCAAAAAAAAAAAAAAAACACAAAAAAAAAAACAAAGCAAGCCAACCTGTATAGAATATACTTAGAGCCAGCTGCTCATTAATAGAGTCTGCAGGAACTCTACTGACTTAGCTGTTAAAATGGATGTGACACAAGAACTCTTCTACTTTGCACCACTTCAGACACCTGACAGCTTTCATGAACTTTAGATCTGCTGTTACTGGATGCATTTATAGAAGTCAGAAAAATTCATATTTTGTAGGGAAAAAATTGCTTTCATAGATGTGGTTTTAATTTCACTGTTACAAAACACAAGAGTTGGAAGCTTTTTTGTAGTTTAAGGAAAACTGTAAACATTTAGTACATKATATTGAATTTTAGCAGCTATTACACACAGCAAAGAAAATGTTCCTTCCTCTATACATTTCCCAGGCAAACATCCTGACAATTTTTGCCGGCTATAATCTGCACTAGATTGTCTAGATGGTCTATGACTTTGGTGTAATACATTAGTCCTAAAAATCACGAAATAAAGGGGATGATCCACATCTCCTACAAAGACATTTAAAATACTAAAGGGGAAAAAAAACACACTATTTATTTTTTTTTTTTTATGAAATAGCTCCTCTTCAAAGATGTGGTGATAAAATAGTTTGGTTTTTTTAAAATTCAATTATTTGGTGTCTTTATCTAGTCAGTCACAGTGACTGATGTTAAGGGTAGAAACTCAGATGAGATGTTCYGATTTCTGTTAGCCCGAAAGATCAAGGTAATTGTGATGGGGAACTGGAAAATGAGCTGGAGCCCCTTCTGTCTGGCATGTTAATGGCAGGTTTGTTAACAAAACGCCARGCACGAGGCTATCAGCACAACACAGCTCTCTCAGCTCTGCTCTCTCACATATGTGCAGCTCCAGGCTCCTGGAGCTGGGRACAGAGCTGGGCTGAGCTGCTGCTGACACACAGCACAGAAACCGTGCAGCCACGCTTCCAGATCCCAGGGCAGCTTGCACATCCAGAAATGGTAAATGTGACTACGTTTCTGAACGYGTGGAGCCTTTTCCAAGGCTCTGGAGCGAGGAGTGTGTTTTTCCTGTGCTGTTTGTGAAGAGTAGCACAAAATAGGGTCCCAATCCCTGATCAAAGCCTCTAAACTCACAGCTGATGAGTCAGCAGAGCTGAAAAGCAGTTTTCCTAACGAGGAKATGCCCAATGTGTATCACAGATGCAGCCATGCTCAAACCTCTCAGAGTATAAGAGGGTTTTCCCTTTTCTTACAGCAAAATTCAGCTGCCATAGAGTAAATGATGGATGAACAGGATTCAGGATTTACAGTGCTCCTGAAGCCACTGACAGTGCAGCATGTCCAGGAGTTTGCTCAAAGCTGTGGAATTGGTACGGACATTACTGCACCCACACAACTTCAGGAGGTACAGCAAATATCGGTAACAGTGGGAAAAAAGAAAAATGCAGAGATCCAGTCTCTTTCAACAATTTTTTGGTCATCTTGATCCCTCCTTACATAAAGACTCCACATTCTGTGTCTAAAGGAAGTATCCAAATTGATAATTTAAGCTTACCCCATACTTTCTCAAGTGATACAAGACAATAGCTGAGTAAACCTCTTTAAAGCAGTATTGCTTTAAAAGCTAAAAGGTTATAAAACGTATGTAAATTCACAAACTTACATCTCTTAATACTCTTTTCTGATGTAATTTAGGTGTCCAGTAAAGCTGTTTTCATATTCAGCATTATTTAAAAGATCTTAACAATTACTTCACAAAGATCTAGAAAATGCATTCTGAGTGTCATAAAGAGCTCCAGCAATATCCAAGAACTACTTTAAAATAACTTGACATAATTGGACATACACTAAAATATTTAATAACCAAACAAGCCTTTGAAGCAAATCACAAAGCAACACTATTCTCTCATGGTGACCCCAATTATTGCACAGGCTAGAAGAAAAGCTAAAAATGAACAGTAAGATAAACCACTCTACCACAGATTTTTTTTTCAATAATTTCTGAAGTTGTGAAGACTGACAGCATAAGAAAATACCTATAAAAGTATACTATTATTATTATTATTATTATTATTATTATTATTACAACTAACAATTAGCATAAGTTATAATAAAACAGCAAGGCAGCTTTAGTTGATGAAATAACTTGAACACAGGCACAGATACTGCACTAGACTTCTTAATTTTATGTAATATAGGGATTTAGCCTAAAAAACACTTCTTCACCCCTTCTTCTAGATTCCTGAAAAGTACTTTACAGATTATTCTGTATTATCCCYAATCATTAGACAGAGGTGAAAATAAGTATGTTCACACAGGTAACATATCTACTGAAAGCTGAACAGGAAGACAGAATACTAGGTTTTCACCAAAATATTCAAATCACCTAATGAAGTACTTGTTTTCTTTTTTTATGGGCAACTTAAATATGGAAATTTTTCACCTTATGGCAAGGAAATTCTGTTCCTGAAGTAGCCATTTTTTAAGATCATGTAAATGTGTGTCACAAATGGATTCACATTCATGAATAAACATAGACAAATCATTTGGAAATAACTTGAATTCTGCCATTGGTGGGGGGGGGAAAAAAGCCATGCCAAAATAAGGATGGCTTTCAACCTTGTCATGACTCCAGCTCTGGATAAAAGAATATGCATACCAAATTAAAAGCCATCCCTAATTTATATTTAGTAAATTGACAGCTTTATATCACATCCATCACAGCTATGTCTGTGTACTCCTCCTTTGCAATTTGTGACCACAAAAAGTAATTCATCTCCCATGCAGAGAAACCCAACAGTGTATGTCCAGTTCATTTCGGTGGTGATACAAACCCTCCCTCTGAATCCAATCCCCATTTCTCCTCTGAGTTCTCCTTCCTGTAATCCTTCAAGCAATGTAACTAAGAGCAATAAAACTGAAAGCAAAAGTATGGAGATGGAAAATACTAYGAAAGAGGTCAAAATATTACAGCAAATAGAAGTCAGTCATGAAGACACAGATGCAGAAAAATGTGGGGTTTTTGGTTCAGTTCCAACTGTTAACTGAAAGAAGACCAAAATCAAAAAACATGCTCTATTACCATGGGGACTGTATTTCCTTAAATAAAGTCAGGTACCAGGGGTCCAGGACAAAGTCTTCCAAGCAAACAGAATATWATGGCACTGCATTATACAGCTAAATGGAAAATTCATTCCAAGACAATGATGTGTCTACCTTCACATGGAGATTAGTTATAGAAGCACTGTCAGCACTTAAGGCAAACCATTCACAGTACATTAAGGAGGCAATTAGAGCAAAAACCATCTTCAGCATTATTGTTCTTACTAATTAGTAGTAGTCTACAGACACCAGAACATCAATAATAATACGAACAGTCAATTTGTAGCCTCAATTYTCAGGAAAAAGAAAACAACTAAAGTACGTATTTTCATCAAGAATTGAAACATGTATATTTAACAAGGTATCATCTACAGTAACAGCCCCTTGGGCTTTCTGACAAAACTGTTCAAATAATTAGGCTTTTACTTGCTTTTTTTTTTTTTTTTTTTTTTTTAATTCTGTACACAAAATCCTCTAAAAGCACAGAGCGAATAGACCTGAATTTTCAAACCACAGAGTCATTCTGCTTGCCCAGCCTGACATGACAGCATTCCTCTAAAAAACTGTAACCCTTTGTCACAAATTAGTTAAACAGTTTTTATTCATCTCAGAGCTCCCAAATAATCAGTTACTCGTAGGGGAGGGACCAAATTCTTCAAAGACWGGTGGAGAGATCTGTGGAAGAGACAAAGACAGACCCTGCATGTGTASAGGGAAAGGTTTAGGTTCCTTGCACAGGTGGGTACTCACCTTCCCACTGGCCTGTGAGCACCAGGCTCCTGCTGATGACAATGTCAATCTCTGTGGCACCATATTCCACTGCCAGCCTKATTTCAGTCAGTTTGGTCTCCAGAGGAGTTTGTCCAGATGGAAACCCAGCAGCCACTAGCATGAAAGGGGTGCAGGTAGAAGTAAGAAACATTTTATAAAACGTTTATAAAGTTTTATAAATTAACAATAAAATTGAAAATACCTTTAATTYATCAAAACCTTTGAAAGTTATTATTTTTTTTTAATCCCTGCTGTGTTTCAAAAAATCTAAAGGCATCTTATCCTACCCTCTCTTCATCCACAAGARACATTAGCTCTACCTTCAAAAGCCAATGTCCAGCAAGAGACCAAGTACATCTTGTGAAAACACCTTTCACAAGCCTTAAAATTTTCCAGAACAGCCTACATAAAAGCACAATATCTACTGCTTCCAGCAGAAATGAGYAAACAAGGAGAGAACTCAGATATGAAGCAATACATACATACATTTTTAATTCTCTCCAATTCCTTTAAGTAGCATCTCGAGTTTAAGCACAACAATGTTGAACAGTTAACTCACAATATAGCAAAAATTGCTTTCAATGAGTTCTATTTAAWATTATGTTTATGATGTTTAAATACAAAACTCCAAGGTAACTTTGAAAATGGAAAAATAATGGCTTTGTTAGAGATTGTCTTTCTCTCTGACATATAAATGCATTTAATACGTATTTTTCCCCTACACAACGATGAAACGGGAACAAAAATCTCACACGTATCTTAGCATTAAACACATGATCTAACTTCAAAGTCAGCTCCTGCCCTGAGCAGGAGGTTGGACCAAATGTCATCCAGAGCTCCGTTCCAACCTGAGTAATTCTTTGATTCCACCTCCTGCTCATTGCACATTCAGGACTTGTCTCTCAGGTGGGGTGACTGGAGAAGAGCTGGCACTGCTGGATCTGGATGTGCACGTCCTGACCCTGTGGCTGCTTTAGGATTTGTGCTGGAAACAGAAYTGGGACTACAGAGATGTTTTGGGAGGTGCAGAGCAGTGACAGCACAGAGCTGAGGCYTTTTCTGCCTCTCACCCWGTGAGCAGCCTGGGGGTGCACAAAAAAAGAAGCTCTTATCTGAAACCACAAATTTTCTCTTTTATTCTTCCACTTCTCTTTCCTGGCCATCCTGGAAGTGGTGTATGAGCCAGTGTGTGTGGCACAAAGTTGCTGGCTTGGGCTAAACCTCGACACAGGATTACACTCAAAAGCCAAACCTGATAGGGAAAATAAACCTTTGTTAGAGCTCCTATCATCATCATCATCTGCTTAGTGTAAACTGATCCTTGTCCAGCACTCTATTTCCATTTCTTCTATTTCCACTTCTTCTATTTCCATTTTTTCTGTCCAGGTRAGGAAAACACTGATATATTTTAAAGGCCTCTTTGAACAGCTTCCAACAAAGCAGACTTGGCAATCCTGCTCAGCTTGAAGTCGAAGGACAACAAAAGATTATACCACAAGAAAATCCTTCCATTCCCTTCCTTCCACCTGTTACCTTTTCACCTCACTCCCTGACACAAAAGCAAGTCCAGACTTCTGGATTTTATTATGAATTTTATCACATTATTTACCAAGGTACTTTTGAATAAAGCTCACCTGAAGCCACTGGAATGTTACACCGTGCAGCTTTTAGGGTGTTCACGGCATCGGAGACTCTGGCAGGATACACACACACTGCTCCAACGGTGATACCTGCAAAAGCCACAGCTCCCTGTGTCACACAGCAATTCCCACCTTCTCCACTGCAATCCACACCACCAGCACACACCATGAGCACTGTCCTCAGCTCCCACTCCTGTGTTCTCACAAGGATCTGAAGCACCACACCAGAGATGTCTGTCAGTGTTCAAATGGTTCAAGCAATTCTCCTTTCCTCCCTCACCTCACCCTGGGAGCAAGTCTACTTCAGCAGGAGTTAAAACTCCAAGTTTTTATCAACAGACTCACAGTTCAATTCCAACACACACAGCTAAGACACACTTAATCAGCAAATTACTGCAAGAGAAGCTGCAYTGCCAAGCTCTGTTCTTACTCATTGGGCCAGACTGAGCCCAGCAGCAACTGAGCAGTCTTTATGTTAACGCAGCCCCACTGCATTTCTTGTTAAAATGCTCTTCTACCAAATTCTCAGATAATTGACCTCATTATTTTACACTTCAACTGTCCAAAGAGTACATAAACCCAAGTTAAAAAAAAAAAAAAAAAGACTGATCTTTGATATTTTATTATTTGGCTTAAATCAGAGGCCTGATTCCCCTTTGGTCCATATGACTCTAATCAGCGGACCGGTGCCTTCTCTGAAAACTGAAAAAATAATGAGGAAATGCAGACATTTTCTCTACAAAAACACACACCAAAAGCTGCCATACCTTTATCATGCATGTCCAAGGCTTTGAGCAGATCCTCTCTGATAGGGTGCTTTGCTTTAAAGCASAGTCTTTGAACATTTGAAGGAGTATCATCGCCCGAGAGAGTGGTGAGGTCTATGCAGGTGACAGCTTTCAGCAGCCAAGCTGCCTGCAGAGGGAACAAAGCAAGGAATGGAGCATTTCTGTTTACWATTCCAAAGCCAACCTGCCTCAGAAGGTGCAGGAATCAGAAGCTTGGCTCTCACTCTGACAATGAGGAAATGTATAGGATGTAACAGGGAGAAGAAGCAAATAATGGCTTAGGACAGACAGGGTTAGCAGATATTTGTTTATGTCTTCAGCAGAGTCGAATGATACAGAAAGGATCCACTTTCRTGTGAATCAGGAATAAAAAACGTCTGTAATTTTGGTGCAAAAAAAAAAACCAAACCCAAAAGCAAGAGGTAAGTGACAAAGTTAAAGCACTCTTTAGATGGAAATGCTACTGAATTTTAAAAGACTTATTAATCAAAGAATGGAACAGAAGCATAACTAAAAATGTTATGAGCTTTTTTTTTGCTGAACAAAAATTGAGCTTAAGACATTATTCTGAAATATTTGTTGAAGGTGTTCCAGAAAATTCTCATTTACAGTGATGGCTTCACTAAAAGCTGACAGCTCTTACAGGGCACTGGTGCAGGGGGAGAGTTTGAAATGGCAAAGTCAACTCGAGTCCACAAAGCCCCTCTCTGTCTCCCTGCTCCGTGCTATGATTGCCAGCACAGGCAGCAGAGCTCGTTTCCACATGGAGGTATTAACTCTGCACATCTTCCACGGCTGAGCAGCCTACAAAGCCTTCACACTTGGCTGGTGGGAGTCTCCTTTTGGAACCTGCATTAATGTCACAAGGAGACCTGTTTGGGGGGGACTAAATGGGGTGATGAACCATGGCTGGCCTCTGTTAGTCTAAGCCTGACTGTTTCTGATTTCTCCCTTCATCCTGCAAGACTTTGAAAGGGTTTTCCCCTTGAAATGGTTTTATGTTTCTTTTATTTGAATTTTTTTATCCTCTGTTTGAGGGAATTTTTGCCTCACCTCTTATGACAGAATCATAAAGTCATGCAGAGAGACACACTCAGTGAGTTTCAAGGTATAAATTTCAGGTTTTTTTAAAGTTTTTCAAATGTGTATTTTGGGAAATGGTCTGCACAATTTGAATGTGTGATGCTCCTAACATTCAAACAGGTAAAGGTTCAACAACCTCTCTRTTAAATAAACAGTACATGACTACCCTGCAATGACAGTGCTCAAGCACAGAAGAGATGCTTCGGACAAAGTCAAACCTTGCTCGAGTTTCTACACAGATGAGTGGAGAAGTGTTAGGRATAAACATCTGTCCTCCAGCTCTCTTGTGGGAGTGATTCTAAATCTTTTCCTTCCCAATGATTCTCTGTAATCAAAGCCTGTGGCTCTCTCTGTCTTTGTTGTTTATATGGCAACCGTGGTCAAAACCGAAGACTTTATTCTTACATTACTGCACCTGCAGTACCCAAAACACTGAAACATTTGAACAACTTTTTCAAGAGTTAAGTATAATTAAATGATSCCTGTTATGTTCTGCTATTAAGACTGTTCTTTCATCATCTCCTTCCTCCTGCTTCCAGGTTTTCAGCTCCTGTTGCAAGTAAACAACTTGTTCAGTTTGCAGAGGGGAGGAATCCCCAGCACTGTTTGCAGGACAGCTGCACTCTGAATAAAGAAACAATTTGTCTTTTTATAGTAAGATGGACCATAACAAACCATTTACCTTATCTCAGCAGCTGAAAAATCAGTCCTCCTAACATTAGTGGGCTCCTTCCCCCCATTAAATGCCACAGCCAGTCAGGATTTTTGAATTTTAGGTTGAAACTAGTTAAGCAATGAAATCACACACGTTGAGAATGTTTAAGCAAAGAAAAATCATCCAGGTAGGTCAAATTTGACAGGGACCACGATCGTATCTTACAGCTTTAAAATTAAAAAATAAGAAGGCAGCATGCAGAGAAGTCTGTCTGGGAAACAGAATAAATGTGGTGGGATAGTAATACACAATTTAATCCACTCATGAATAAAGATGACTTAAATCCATTTGCGGTTTTGCCACTCATGAGTTATAAGGTTTTTAACTTGTTTGGATAAATGCGTCACCTTATTCCATCCCATCATCATCAAATACAAATTACTAAAATAAGACATGGACAAGCACATCTTTTAAGTTTACATGTATCTTGAAAAAAATTCAATATTACAGCCTGGAGAGGGAGACTGACTGCTTTAAAAATACAGGAACAGAATGCATAAGGAGAGCACTTACTTGCCAATTACCTTTCACAGTTTTCCATTTTTTAATTTGTTCTGCATGCCTCACCACTGCAGGTCGATTCACATACACTTTTGAGATCCAGCCAAGTTCTGGGGGGAGAAACAAAATTTTTTTTTAAAGTCTTATCTATTTCTGTGTTCTTTTAATATATGGTGTGGTACTTCAGAAAAAAGTTGTATAAAGTTTGAAATCTTTGAAAATCACATTGTGCTTTCATGTCCTTCTAAGGGCTTGTGTACTTATCCCCAGTACAAAACAGCTTTAACTTACGTTAGGGGATGATCTGTGAACTGGGTATTTCACACAGCATGTTCTGTTTGCCACTACCAATGAATTAACTTAGTACTGATGGGAGAGAGACACTGCGTTGCCAGCCCTGAACTGAGAAATTTATTATACATGTAGCATGAAAAAAAAAAAAAAACCAAAAACGACCCACAAAACAGCCTTCTGTCATTGTTTGATGACTTATTTCCAGATTCCAGAATTCCCAAAGAGCAGCAGATTCTCAACATGAAAWAATGAAACTGTCTAGAGCCAGAACCAAATATTGGCTAACGAAGACTGACTGGTAAAAGAGAACTGAGGGTTCAGGCTCTTGAATCTTTAAATTTCAGCTTAGTATGAGAAACCTGGAGTGTAATTTTTAATATCAATATACACAAATGGTAAATGAGARTACRGAGGAAAAAGAAATCRGAATATCTTTAACATCTCTTATATYCYRAAACATAAATAGTTCTTCTAAATACTGATTGTATAAGCATTCCATGAAAATCCTCTAAAAATAACATCATCAATCATTCACCACCAATCATCAGCAAATCACCACCATCAATCATCAAACAYCATCACCAGTTAAGGTCAGAATATGGACATGGGCATAGATAGATACTAGGAGATAATAATTCTGGGTGACTGCATTTATTAAGARCATGTCACTCTATGAATCTTCTTTACTATGGTATTAAATTGCATTTCCCTTGAGCATATTGATTTTAAAAAAGGTTTAAAACTTTAAAAAAAAAAAGCTGATAAACAAAATCACTTATTTTTTACAGAAACCTTACACTTTTTTTTTTAATTCCTACTGGATAGTTTTAATAGCCAAAAAAAAATTTAAAAATAGAAAACTAATATACTAGCCAAAGTATGTGTAAATAAAAGCTTGTTTTCCTAGACTTACAAAAACCAATTTAGGGTAAAGATGACTCAGTGGAAATGCAGGACAAGATGAAACAGCTGAACAAAATTTTGTTTTGAGCATACCAAACTACTGTGCTACCACTTTCCTATTACCAGATACAAGTGTTGGCTAAAAGCAGAAAACATAAACCAGTGAAGGAATTTCATAGGGAATGTAAGGAATTTATAGATTTCTTTAAGAATTTAGCATCAGACTCACTGTATGGCAACAAGGAAAAGGAGGAGGTTGCAAAGCTGCAAACCAGTCMAACAACAAAGCCAAGTTCTGCTTTCAAAGGCACAGTTTTATCCATCCTGCCCCAAAGCAAGAAGCTCAGGTGACTTGCACAAAGGGCTTGCGAAAAGCCAATGATACAAAAACCATGGCCAGAACTTTGCTCCTTTTTTGCTTATCAGTAGGCATTACAGGATATATTTAACAAAGTCCATGGGGCAGGAAAACACAAATTAATAAATAAATAGAGGAAGGACACACGAACTCTGTTAAGATTCTTCTACTATGTKCCAAGTGCTGAGGCAGCACCATTTAATCATAATCCCATTTATTACAGTAACTTTTGCACCCTACTGGATGCACAGTGATCTTTTAGCCCCTTTGGAAAATGTGATAAAACCAAAGGAAGCAGTTCAGATGAGGAATTCAGCTYCTCCCTCTCTATTAAGGATCTTTTCAGTTTGTCTACTCCAACCTATTCTTTCCACGTTTTTGAAGACAATCAAGAAAACCAACTAATAATTGATTTATAAAAACTATTCTTTGGGAGAATATGAAGACAGATGGAATATCTATATAACAAATAGATGCAAATTTAAATGAAAGGACATAAATTTCGCCCATGAGTAGGTTAATTCTTCATTAGTCATTGTTTGTGGAGGATTCAATCCAAWTCATCTTGTGCTGGATTGGGTAGAAACACACATTCAGCTGTTGTATTCACCCCACCTGACTCCAGAGCATCCTGACTCAGAAGGTCTAAGCAATCTTTTTAGGATGTACAGCACTGTACATTACATCAGCTTAAAGGATATGGTCAACTTTAAAGTTATTTGGAGAAAGGGAAAAAAAAGAAAAAAAGAAAATTCGTAATGGGAGAAAAAGTGTGGAAGAAGAGCGGAAGTGAAATCAGCAACCACCTCTGCTTTGCCCCAAGGCACCTGTGAAAGTCACCATCTATCAGCTGATCAGCACCAGCTGCCTGCATGTTCTTTGCAAATACTACAAAATCCATTGGTTTAAGCCCCTTTCACTAACACATTTTACCTTCTGTTTTCAGTAACTCACAAGGGTAGCTGACACATGGCAACTCAGTAATGTCTAATATCTAATTTTTGTGTTTGGGATGCAAGATTCCCCAAAACAGCACAGAATTTGAATGTCCAAGTAGTTTTTTGAGTGTGGGAACTCAAACCACAGTTCACAGCACAGGCAGAAATTTAAAACACAAAAAAGAATTTAACAAAAAATCAGAACTCTGTACAACTAATGTGAGAAAATCATGCAGCCACTACAGGAAATAAAATGGTGCAATAAAAATTGCACRGCAAGGAAGGACAAAGGTTCTGGTAATACGCAGCAGCAGATGGAGACTTCCATATAACACAGACCTTTTATTCAAGCCCATTCCTACATTAATTAAAGCAATGGGTAAGWGAAAACAAATATGTCTCAGCACAATCATCTCTAAATAGACTTTCAAAGTTTGCCATCTGAGGTCTCATCAAATCTTTAGATCTAAGTGTCTTTATTCAGAAAAATCACTCCTAATTTCAGCTTTTCCTTTTTTTTCATTAAAAGTCAGAATAAAACTATTTTTTGAAACAGAACTGACTGCCTTTGGATTCTCCCCCTCCCTCATTCCCCCAAGCTTTATGATTTAGTATCTGGCTAAGGAAAACTATATTTAATTAGGCTCATTAACCTTGCAGTGTGAACACATCTTTTTTTTTTTTTTTAAATAAGTCATCTGCTAGTCATCTGCACAGTCATGTGGCTTCGGGGATAAAAGTAATTAAAGCAGTTACACTACAGCTAATTAGCCAATATTCTGTAATCACTCTTCTAGTTTACTTTTTTCTCTGAAGACATTTGAAAAAATCATATTCAATTTCTTAACAGGAAATTCATCTCCTCTCTTTGAAGAATGTGAATCCAAAAATACCAAGCATTTCCTCAGAAAACAATAAATAAAACCACTTCATCAGGATAATTACATAAATATCTAAGGTTCCCAACACTTTCCTCATAAAACAGACCAAGCTTTACAGAAGCTTTAAAAAAATGTGTTGATGGCATCCCTTCAGATGGTGAAACAGAAAGCTCAAGAATGCCCGAGGCGGTAGTTTCACAAGCATTTTAAGGCAGCAGCAYTCCCAAAAGAAGCTGCCCCCCTCAACTGGTTATTTCATTTYRTGTGCCAGARACAGCATGTGTGCTCCTGCTCTTAYCATGAGCACGTGATAAAACGGGCAAGGGAAGTGATGAAAGCTGTTATTTCTGGAGAAGAGACTGAAATGCGTCCTGAAGGGAAATGAGGTGTTCAGCTGGCCACAGGCTGACCCCAGCTGGCCATGCCGAGCTGAGCAAAGCCACTGAAGGGAGACAAGGCCATGGATCGGGTCTTGTTCCATTTATCCTACCCTGCAAGCTGTTTCGAGGTTTGGGGGTTATTCAGCTTTGTTGAGACAGAAGCTGTAGTCAATTTTTCCACAGTGACATTTGAKATGGACCAACGGGCTCATATTTTCATGTGGGTGTTCTTTGATACAACTCAAGTTGAGTCTCTAAGTCATCAGCATTCAAAGACTCAGAGCAGGACATCAGAGCAGAAGCCCTGAACTAGAAATCAGCTCTGTTATCTTGTGACAGCAGTGAAATGATACAGCATTGTCCATGGATCACACGAAATGGATCAAGGTACCCTCCAAAGCACTTTGGAAACCACTGGCAAGCCTTTCCTCAGACACAGAACACCAGGGACCTGGTTTCCAGCAGGTCCAAATCCCCTGTTGTCCCCTCCCTTCTTCCCTGGCTTGAGCCATCTCCTGCTCCCAATAACCCAGCTGTCCTGATATGGTCCTTAAAACCACAAAYTTGCAAAAAGGCCAAAATGAAACAGCTGCCACAAAAATTCAAGTAACTGCTGATCTGTACCTGCCTTTCCCTCAACAAAGAACTGATTTGGTCACTCCACCCAGTGCCTTACTGATTTCCAAGGCATCTACCTGTCCTTCAGATTTGATCAAAATTACCCAGCAGATTCAAAAGGTGTTAGAACAGCGAAGAACTGGAGCCATAGCACGGGCTAAAACCAGCTATTAATGTATTAGAACAGAATTATGCTGTCTTGAAAAGGGATGTAACACTTCATTATCTAAATGCCACTTACCAACAGGCTAGCTCTCACAYGTAGATGGCTCAGAAATACCAACTTTAATTAAAAATATCAATTGAAACATAATGATTGTATTTTTGGCTCTTCAACTGGAGGGTCTGAGCAACACACAGATAATGGATGTTTTTAGAATCGTAGAACATTGCAAAACCACTGCAACTAATTACTCATTACTCAGGATACACACATATATATGTCTGTGTGTGTGTATATATATATATATACAGACACATGTAGACACGTAGAAGAAATAAAACATTCAGTCACAAAATAAGTTTGGTTGGAAGAGCTCTGAGGATCATTTGTCCAACCTCCTGTGCAATGCAGCACCAGCTCTGMGTTCAGCCCAGGCTGCTGAGGGCTTTATTCAGGTGGGTTTTGAGAGTYCCCAAGGATGGAGACTGCACAGCCCYGCTGGGCCCAAGCTGTCCCACCACCTGACTGTTCTGCACCAAGTTTGTCCTTATATCCAGTATGAATAATTCTGCCTCAGGAACCCTAAAGCCATCATTTCCCTGGGTTAAACTGGTCCAACTCCATCAGCCTTTCCTCACAGGGCAAGTGCTCCAGCCCCAGCCCCTCTGTGCTGAAGTTGTGACAGTTCAYCAATCTCTCTCTCCTACTGGGAGGCAAAACTGGACCCAATTTTCCACATAAACTCCAACAAGGGCTGGGCACAGTGGACAGTCCCCATGTCCCCCCAGTATATCTGCATCACCACAGTTACACCAAAAGAGTGTGCTACCAGCTTACATATCCAGAACAGACACTGATTGATATGTTCCACCATTTCGTTGTGAAGTGACATTAAAAATATGCATCTTATACTTTTCTGAAACATGACAAAACATGAAACCAGCTATTATAAGCCAGCGAGCTGGAGAGCAGAGCAGGAGAGGCAGACTCCTTTCCATCCCTGCAGGCATTGTGGTGAACCCAAGCCCATAAACTCTCCAGAGTGAAACAAAAAGCTTGTAGAACTCTTTATCCAGCTTCTTTACATGACTCTCAGATGGCAAATGTATCAGTGTTTTAGGTTAGTGAGCCTCTAACTGTGCACATCAGTGTCTTTTCATTTGTGCAACATGTACCTGATCTTTATTCCAAGTAAACACCTTCTTCTTCTACTAAGGCACRGTGATGGGTATGAGGGAAGGGGATAAGGAAGGAAGGATCAATGAATTTTACAAAAATGTATTTATTTTTTARAAAGTCACACGGGAGAGCACTATGTGCTATGATTTGTGAAAAGTTTGGCTTGTCATTGATAAACAAATAGATGTTCTCTAATGGCAACATCAGAAATCAATAATACTGCTTCAATAATGACATTAGGTAGCAAGCACAGAAATAGCAGACACAGAAGAAGACTCAAATAATGTAATTTTCAGTAAAATATATCTTACCACTAGATGTCCCTGTTAGAAAACTCTAAATTCTACACAAAGCTGTGTGGCAAAGAGGGCAAATCCCCTGAATTGCTGTTCAAGCTGCTGGCACAAGCCTGTAAAACCTTCCAAAGCCCAAGTGCCTAAGTCATAGAAGCAGCCTGTATTATCAGCAACCATGGGAGATAAAGGTAAGGGTTTACCATGCTCTTTTWGAGTGCTGCTACCAGCAGCACTAAGATATGTTAAGTGCTGTATTAAGTGTGTTGCCGTATTTGATACGTATTTAGTGGGAGAGCACAGCAGGAAAGTTCAGTTTGCCCTTTAAAACAGCCAGCATAAGACAAATGCTAGAAGCTGCCACTTAAAAATGGTGACAATCACACCATTTCCCTTCTATACTTGTCCTAAAAATGTAATCCAGCTCATTTTGACCACAACTTGATTAAACAAAGCTCATCCAGAAGGGATGAAAACAAGTATCAGAACTGAGCCGACTTCAAGTTTCTGAATTCCCCACACCTACCAACAACTAATTTTAAGGTTGAATTTACTGAGAAAAGGCATGACACACACMTAGTTTAAAGTAACTGTAGTGCATTTGCAAACTTTTGTGCGAGCTTWTATTCCTAACACAGTGAAGTTTGGTCACTTCATTATTAATGCTCATTTCAACTCTTCAGATGGCTGCAGCTGAAACTCACCCGTTCCTATGAGCAGCCAGTGAACAAAGTCATCAGAGAAGAATCGGACAACTCACTTTTGAAAGCTGCAACATGTCCACAGTGTCAGTGAATGAAAACACAGCTCTCACTTGTCCATCCACAGGCTAACCATTCACACTGCACTGTGTTTGTGTAAACTGCACTGTTGCSTGTGTGAAAGGTTCCTGTGCTTTTTCTCCTGACAGGCACATGACACCGTGAGCGGCACAGCCTCCTGAACTCTGAGCCCTACCTGTTCCACACCAGCTGTCCTTGGCTTTCCACCTTCCTTGAGGCCACCTCTGGGTCTCCTCAAGTGTCCATCGCTCATAGTGACCAAATGAGCAACCTCAGAAGGAACCTACCACTCCCTACACTGTAGGAAGGCTCATGGCTTTCATTCACTGCTGCAGTTGGCTTTTGCGGAGGAAGCTGTAGCACCTTCCCCTTCCCCAGCAATCAGCAGATGAGGAGCTACAACGGGAAAAAGGCAAAGAAACCCTTTTCTTGGCTGTTCTCGGCCTTACCTGAGGCACAGTCACCTTTAGGGCCCGGAGACCACCTGCGAACACGTGGAAAAGCCCTAACGAAGTAACACGTTCCKCTGAGTGCATTCGACAAGAGGATCGGAAGAGAGAGTCCCGAGATTGCAAATCAGAGCCTCATTAAGTGTTTTGAATCTCTTGGTGAGCAAGGAACAGGAAGAATGCTGCCGTGAGAATGGCGTGCAAGAGAGGACCAGGTCCAGCTTTGTGAAAGGATCAGAGCTGCCCTACGAGCTCTCACCCCGCTCGGAACCCCTGCAGCCAAAGCCGTATGTGACAGGGGAATTCGTGTCTGACGTGCAGTGCCAAAGTGTCCCGCCGATTACAAGACAAGGGAACATGTCAGAACACCTACAGGAATAGTTCTATTCCTACTTCGGCTTTTCAGAGGAGCACGGCTCCCCAGCCGCCTGCAGGAAGCTCCGCCGGGCGGGGAGAACCGGGGGCCGGCTCCTGCCCTGCCCCGCCCCGCCCCAGCGGCTCCTCCCCGCCCCTCCGGGACCCCACAGCACTGCCCGGGTCCCGCAGCCCCTCCAGCCCCGCTTACCCAGCTCGGTGCCCGGGTTCCGGCCCGCCATGGCCCGCACTGTCCGGCCCCGCCCCGCACGGGCAGGAAGCGGCGGGGCTGCCCCGGGAGCTCCCCGCCCCGTGGGGACCGGCASGGCAGGGCTGGACGGGCAGGGCTGGACGGGCAGGGCTGGCGCACACCCTCGGCTTCCCCAGGACCACATCTCGGCCCTGCTGCGGCGAGAGCGGCAGGGATGTGCCTGTCCATGGATATCCCGTTCCTTTAGCCATGCGTAACGCTGAAATTGCCGCTCGGGTGATGAGTCAAAGCTCTGTCCAGTGGCTTCGTGTTGAATCTTCAAGGAGGAACTATCGCCACAGGTACACAACCTGCTTGGGCAACAATGAACCTCCTTTGGTAACAAAGCCACCGAAAACTTCATGGCCTTKACTTATTTCCAGAAGTGCAAAAAACTACAAAGTCTCATGAAAAATGTATTGAACGTTGTTAATATTCACGTTKAGATGAAAGATGAAATTTTCCACGTTACTTCTATTTGCTCAGTGCTAACAAAGTAATCACAAACTCAGAACAGCATGGCATAAAGCAGGAAAGGGTCATAGCTCTGAAACCTGTGCACACTTTTGTTTCTGCTTTTCCCCTACCMGAACTGAATGTGTGCTTTGAGAAGCAGTGGTTTCAAAGACAGTACTCACTCTAGAAAGTATACACTGTTTACACTGTGTACTTTAGAACAGRTAAAAGCAGTGCAAAAATTACAAGCTTTCATGTGTTAGTGGTGGTGCAGCCTCATCCTCCCCCTTTTCTTGGCACGCTATAATCTAAGAAATTGTTGTGAGACCTCAGCCTTGACAAACAGCACCCAGGCTCAGCTTCTCWWGAGCTTATCWGAAACACTGTCTGCTCCCAGGAACTGCAGCTGTTTAACAAGCACCAGTGTTCTGTATGAACAGCACTGGAAATTATTTTTCATGCCTGAAAGGCATAATATCCCTGCTCCCACACTTTAAAAGTGCTGACCCAAACTGTGGCTGGAATGAAACACTGTTAYGACCAAAACCCACTCTCCTGCRACCCTARAAACAGGAGTCCAAAATGAGACCCTTGGAGCTCTACTGGAACTGCAGTGGGCTGTGACCAGCAACCTCCTTGTGAGGGGGACACCTCCTAGAGACAGCCAGCTCTCAGGTTTGCTGTACTTGGAGCATCATTGAACAGCAACGAGTACTCACTTTCCCTTTTGGGGAGATGCAAAAGCATCTGGAGTATTTAATTACCTTCGAGGGGAATTTTTCACAGGCAAATTTTTCACTTGCACTGGCTCTTTATGTCTGTGTGCATAGCGTGCATATGCTACAGCAAATATGGGAGAAATGCTGCTCTCTTAGATGTTAAAGTACCTTGGATATCTAAGTGTGTTAGTCCTGTAAGTAAGGTTAAGTCATAAGTCACATTAAATGCTGTTAAGTAGTATTTCTCTGTTAAATTGTAAATTACTTTGGTTATCAGTTAAGTGCTGTTTCTCTGTTAAATTGTTACAGTTGAGTTATAGGTTAGGTATGAATTAAGTGTTCCTCAGTTAAATTCTTAGGTTTAACGTATGAATTAAGTACTGTTTGTGTTGTTAAGCTTTTAGACCTTATTTTTTATCCTTGCCCTCACTATCCTTTTGCCACACACACCTAAACATGCACACATCCCCGTCTAGATTGTTCTTGGTTCATTTCTGTTTTGATTGCCTRGATTTTATTGGTTTTGTTGTTGCTTGTTTTTCCTTGGTATGCTTTWATGTCCTGTAAGTAGTAGAGTGAATCTTGCCAATGACCTTTGTTGTCCTGTTGCTTAATATTAAATCTGGGTTTTCCTGATAGCCTTTGCGGGTGATTTTTCAAACACTTGTTCAGAACAGTACTTTAGTTTTGTTGGATTTTTTACATTTCTTCCAGTATTTTAACAGCCGTTACTAAATATTAAGTGGTTTTGACTATTAGCTTTGTTTCATTTTAATGCATCCAGGAGCAAGGTGTAAATGCAGAACAAGGGACATTTTTCTGGGGAACTTGGGAACACTAGGTTAACAGCTGGACCCAATCTTAAATGTCTTTTCCCGAGCTTGTTCTGAGATTTCAGACCTCTCTCTGAAAGGCTGTAGAGCTTACTGCAAATAGAGAATAAAACCCACAAGAAGTCTCACCATCAGGCAAGGTRTTYCAAGTTCCTCACTTTAAACATAKCCTTCAATTTGTAAAATGAAKCTTTTATGCTGAMGTATTAGATATGGAGCATTCATAAYCCTTAGTGGAATTAACAAGACTGAACCATTTAGCTGTAAATCAGGTGCTTATTTTTAGAATAAAATTCAAATAAGTAATTGCAAATGGGTATAGCCTGGAAAAAACATACCCTTAAAAAGTCTCTTGCATTAAGAAAATATAATTCATTTTATCTGTCGTTATCCTTCTTCCTTCCCCCCAGCCCAGCAGCAGAGAACTTGGGCCACTGTTTCAGGGCCCTTCACAATGGATAAATGTTTTCTTATGTTCMGATAACATTTTAATATAAATTGAAACAAGGTTTCAGAAACTAAGTTCCTGTTTTCTAAAATGACAGTGTTACTGTACTCTTGGGGAAAAAGAAACAGGATGGTAAGGACAAGTATGAATATTAAAAAATAAAAAGCTGTGTGAATAAATATACCTCTTTCTTCTTTCCACACAGAATGCATTATGTAAAGCTTTCAGCATAACATTAACAGAAATGACAASTGGAAGAATGGCAATTACTTTATTTAATGAAGAAAATATGATTTGTAACCTTGAAAGAGTAACTTTTTTATCCAGTCTGGAGGACTAAACCCAAGCTTTACACAGATTTGCAGCCAACCTCTGATATTTTCATGTACAACCAAATGCTTCAGGCAGCACATTTAATTTAGGAATTTTCACTGTTTTTCATTTTAGAGACTCATGTTTACATTCAAACTTTAAAAAAGATACAAAGCTTACAGATCAAAGAACTTGCCACCCTCTGCACCACAAAAACATTCTTTTGCTTTCTCTCTGTATAGTACAAACCCAAGATGCCAAGGATTACGTGATTAATGTGGTTGCTTTTCCATTTTATGAACCCAACGCTCAACGGTAATGTACGAGTTTGGAGAGGCATTTTATTTAGACAACTGAAAACAGTTAAACATTCAGAAGCAGCATACAATGAAACAAAACCCGAACCAAATACTTTTAAGTACATAATCCCTTCTTTTCAACTAGAGCCAATTTTTCCAACTTTCAAGAAAAAAAAAAAAGGTAAAAGCCATTGCATCTCTTCTCCGTAATAATGAAAACACACTATAATGAGTCTAATTGAGATTGGAGAGACTGGATCTTGGCTTGCACACTTCTTTGAAGACAGTAGGCAGTTATGCCAAAAAGCCAGCAAAACTCAGTACTACTTGTCTTTTGGGTTTTTATTTGGATGCTCAGTTCTCTTACAGACAACACCTAGCCAGTTCCACCGCATTCTCATCAATTAGTGCCCATCTTTGCCCCACGGAGAGAGCGCACTCTGGAAGGCTGCTGTCTGTCACTGCTTACTTGATTTAGTCTCGCATGTCCATGTGTCACATAACAGCTGCCGTAATCAGGCTTTAACTTCAGGAGTTGAGCTGTACACTGTATCTGAGTTTTCAGAGGCAATCTCTTCTGCAACTAAATAAAAAGGATGTTATTTAACTTCACTTTTGATATAYAAACCAAAGAAATCTGGCAGGGATTGCTTAAAGAGACCAGTTCAGTTTGTTTTACCAATCAACCTGATCCAGCTATTCTGCCCCACCTGTTCTGCCTGCACAGCTTCAGTCACCAGTCTGACACTTACCACATGATCACTATCAGATAAATGCATTCAAAGATGTTTTGAAAAGCATGAAAAACACCAGAAAGTACTTTAGGGGAACTACTTTTTCCATTCCAAGGAATGCTATCATCTTGACTAATCTTTTAACATAACACTTAGACAGTTGAAGATGACAGTTCAGTTCATTACCTATTTCCTCTTCTGCAGTTCCTGGAAGGGTAGTCCTTGCTTTTGCTGCTTCTGCATTCTCCTCTTCTGTAGAGAAGGAGAAAAACAAACTGTCAATACCTTCAGTTTCACCCGCCCACTTTAATTAAATTTTAAAAAAAAGTAATTGCTACATAATTCAGTGTTGAGGAGAAACACCTGAGCAAGCAATTCTATTAATGAACATTCACTTGTGGTTACTGATTCCCTCTCCCAAAACTCAAAGACCCAAAGTACAATATGAAATAAAGCTACTATCCACCGTTCTTTCTAGCGAATCTCTCAGCATTATAAAAGTGATACCACATATTTCTCACACCGAAACATAAAAATACATCAGACTCTTGGCTTACTACCCACAAAGCGTCCATATGTGGATATTTTCTGCAAAGTGTCTATATTCAAAAAGCTTACAGGTATGATGTTAATTGCTTACATGACAGGTACAAAAATACATCCTTGGACTTATCTCTTAGTATATTTATATCATACTTGGATATGAGTAGATCAGAAATTCTCAGAAGACAGGAGTTACTATATGAAATTCAGTGTTCACTACTGGTAAGTATYACTTCAAAAGTGCACATGGAGTTGCCAAGTTTCACCAGGACCAAGCACACACTTACCAGGAACTACACACTTCCAAAGGCCATAGGTTTTCCCTACTGTTGTCTGCCACAGCCTTAGTGTACCATCCTCAGAGCCACTTGCATATAACTCTCCATCAGGGCTAAATCTCACGCAGTGAATTGGACCAAAGTGCCCTTTGTAAGATTCTGAAGGGAACATGTCAAGACCATCAATTTCAAATTTCAGCCAACAACTGAAATTTAAGTACAAACTGATCAATTCCTGATATAAAACAAAGTTTCCTTGAATTGGTATGTCAGCAAAGTCTACTTYAGGCAAGACATTAATGTTTCAGTAATTGCAAAAAAAAAAAAAAAAGGTGCTTAGTTATTCCAGACAAAACCACACAGCAAGCCAGCAGCATGGAGTAGCCATGCTCAGTTCCTTCAACCACTCCTTCCACAAACATT